AAGGTGGTGTGTGTGTGTGTGTGTGTGTGTGTGTGTGTGTGTGTGTATTTTCCTTTTTGCAGTAGAACAAAAGAGAAAAAGAGCTCTTTGCAGAAATAATTATGAGATCATAAAATGCAGGTCATGAGCCTAAATGTGAAAGTAGCTTTTTTTTTTTTTTTTTTTTTTTTATTTATTTCTAGGAGAGAGAGAGAGAGACAGCATGAGCAGGGGAGGGTCAGAGAGAGAGGGAGTCACAGACCGAAACAGGCTCCAGGCTCTGAGCTGGCAGTCAGCACAGAGCCCGACGCGGGGCTCGAACCCGCAAACCGCGAGATCATGACCTAAGCGAAAGTCGGACGCTCAACCGACTAAGCCACCCTGGCGCCCCGAAAGTAGCTTTTTAACAATTAAATATACCTTTTTCTGTCTTTTTAAGAAGTTTCCCCTTGCTCTGAAACAGATTTCTGTTCGTCATTACACACACAGGTATATCATTTGCAGTGGGAGTTTTCAACGTGTTTCTGAATGAGTGCTCAGTTTCTGACAGATTATTGAACTTTATAAATTTATGAAGGCACTTCTAAAATTATTTCTAAAGATGTAAAATCTAAAGAACAGTATATTATGGATGTGTTCATGTCATCCTTGACCTTTAAAGTGGCTTGTTTCTAGAACAGTTTTTCTCTAGTGAAATGTCATAAAGTAGGATTTTTCCATTAAAAACAAGGGGGTAGTGGACACCTGGCTGGCTCGGTCGGTAGAGCGTGTGACTCTTCATGCCCCATGTTGGGTTTAGAACTTAGTTTAAAAAAAAAAAAAAGATTGATGGGGCGCCTGGGTGGCTCAGTCGGTTAAGTGTCCGACTTCCGCTCAGATCATGATCTTGTAGTTCGGGAGTTCGAGCCCCACATTGGACTCTGTGCTGACAGCTCAGAGCCTGGAGCCTGCTTTGAATTCTGTGACTCCCTCTCTCTCTGTCCTTCCCCTGCTCATGCTCGTTCTTTCTGTCTCTCAAAAATAAAATAAATAAGCGTTAAAAAAAAAAAAGATTGATTTAAAAATGAAAAAAACAGGAGGGGAAGAAAGGGACAGAAGTACATATCTATATATACTGAGCAAGAGTGCAGTTTTTATAGAATTACCATGAAAATAATATGTAATCAGGTATAAATTATATTAATGTATCACATTCATAATTATACCATATTAATGCCATGTATGTTAAACTTTCTAAAGAAATTAAATACTTAAAAAAATTTTTTTTTAACGTTTATTTATTTTTGAGACAGAGAGAGACAGAGCACATGCTGGGTAGGGGCAGAGAGAGAGGGAGACACAAAATCTGAAACAGGCTCCAGGCTCTGAGCCGTCAGCACAGAGCCCGACGCGGGGCTTGAACACACGGACCGTGAGATCATGACCTGAGCCGAAGTCGAATGCTTAACCGACTGAGCCACCCAGGCGACCCAGAAATACATAAATGATATGAAACAGTATTATCGTGTATGTGTTAAGGTTTTAATATTTACTTTTCTTTGGGGCCTCGTCTTAATTTGTGCCTAACTAATGCATAAGACGACTGTACTAAAGTTACAAAATACAGAAAAGGAGTGTCAGTATTTTGGGGGGGAATTTTTAGCTTGACGATTAAATTGCCAGTATACCTCTTTTTCTCCTGGTTCATTTTTCTCTTCTTAAGCTTCCCTGTAAATTAAGATCACGGAGCATCCAAGGCTGGGAATCACTTTCCAGTCGGCTTGAACACCCACATTCATGCAGCACACAGTGGCCATGGCGGTTGGAAGGAATAGGTTTAATTGGCAAAAGGGCAGCACAGCAAACTGCCACGTGGTGCTCTACAAACTAAATGTCACCCGTGTTTCTCCTGCCGCTCACAGTCCAGGGAAAAAAATGATAATTTGGAAGGTTGCCTTCACTTAGGATAATAGTAGCGCAGCTGGGGAGCAGGTGGGGAGGCTTGGAGAGGAAAGAACACTCATAGATGGTAAATTCCCCAGAAACCAGCACTGGTGTGGTTGCCAGCCACCAACGCCGACATTTCTGAGTGGTGGAGAAGTGCTATGACACAGAGTACGTGGGCTATGTAGTATCATACGGCTAAGTTCAAATCCTGGTTTCTCTGCTAACCAGCTGTGTATCCTTGACCTACATAAGCCTTAGTTTCCTTAAAAATGGAGTTAATGGTACTTATCAGGATTACATGAAATAATGCTTATGAGATTCCCCAATGCCCGGAATGTAGTACATTCAGTAAATGCTGGCTTTATCATAATCACAATCTTGGATATCATTAAGATTGCTGCTTTTGGTCAGATACAGACCAGTTAGACTTACAGACACAGATTACTTCTGATCTTCTGGCCAGAGTTTCTCAAAGTTTGGGATGAAGATACAAGCCAACAATGCAGGTTCTTGAGCCCCACCTGGAGCTGCTGAATTGGAATCACTGGAGTCCAGATCCGGTGCTCTGGACTTGTAACATGCTACGCAGGGGAATTATTTCTGCCGCACTGAAGTTTGAGGTCTGCTGTCCAGGGTGAGGCTCTAGGTATTAAGTATGTAGGTTCCTCTGGGTATTAAGTGTACTGTTTTTTAGGTTTGGGAGATGTACCCCAGTTAACTCTTGCTTTAGGAAAGAGTTATTCCTGAGAAAGTCACATGGTAGCCTAATAATCCTATTTTCCTCATTGAACTCTACTAATCAGTTGGATGTGAATATATATTATCAAATGGATATGAATTTATACAGAATACAAACAATTCTTTTTGGCAAAAGAGTGAAATTAAAAAGTTTATAAGCAAGAAATGGCAGAATAAGGAATTTGCTCTAATACATGTTGAGAAGGGGTTCCGGCTGGCCCAGTCGAGGGAGCACACAGCTGTTGGTCTTGGGGTTGTGAGTTGGAGCCCCACGTTGGGTGTAGCGATTACTTAAAAAACAATTTTAAGAATCTAAAAAATATATATGTATATTGAGGAGTTGCTCCACCCAGTGCTGGAAACTGGAATTTTGCCAACTCATTTGGAACTATGAAACTGTAACTGTCTGTTGGGGCACCTGGGTGGCCCAGTCGATTGAGCGTCCAACTTCAGCTCAGGTCATGATCTTACAGTTCGTGGGTTCGAGCTCCGTGTTGGGCTCTGTGCTGACAGCTCAGATCCTGGATCCTGCTTTGGATTCTGTGTCTCCCTCTCTGTTCATCCCTCTCTGTCTCTCTCTCAAAAATAAACATTTAAAAAAAATGTGTTTGTCTCTTAAAAATAAAAGTATCAGGAAAAAATAGAAGTACAAGTATCAATAGTAACTTCTTGCATTTATAGGACAAGTTTTTCAGCTAATAAAAGTCTTCCACAGAACAGTGTTGGATTTGATTCTCATAGCTGCCCTGTGAAGTAGGCCAGATTTTTGTTTCTGCTTTAAAAGATGGGTAAACTGAGGCATCGGAGGGTTGTAAGACCCTTTCCCAGAATCACACAGCCCCTGAGTGGCAGCTGGGCCTAGAGCCAGGTCAAGGAATGGGGAGGAAAGCCCAGAGACACGTCTGCTTGGCCACCTGCTTGTAGACTTAACTTCCAGACATTTGCTAGCTTCCCGATCTTTGGTGTAATCTCCTAGTCTCTCTTATTTGTAACACAGCAGCCTGTAAGTATCGACTGCATTGAGTGTTTTAATTAAATGAGATGGGATTGGTAAAGGCCCCATTTCCAACGCTGGTGTCATTGTCCTTTGATAAATTTCTGTTTTCTCTTTTGACTCCATGATGGTCGTTCTTTCCACTGATCTTGGGCCAGTTCTTTGCCACAGCTAGTCTCGCCCTAATCTGAGCCTTTCTTCCTGATTTTCTTTTAGGCGAGGGTTTCTTTTTGGCTACTGGGGATGGGCTCAGCCACTCAACAAAGCTCTGGCAACGTCTTCTGGTAGTTTACTTGACGACACCGGGCTGAAGAAAGCCACCTTGGACAGGAGAACTGGTGTGACTCCAGGTCCGCCGTGTGCCGTTTCTTGTGGGTCACCCCACGGGTGGGGGACATGATGAGGGTCAGGTGTTACAGCCCCAGCCTTCCGTGTGTAGTATAAGTTTTTACATATTTACTTATAGCGAGCTGCTGTCGTCTCCTTGGCTTTCTACGCTTCCTCCTCTTGTGGTATGAGTTACTCACCTATAATTCTCTCACTGCCAAGTTTTGAATTGAACATGTTCGAGATATTTTGCACCAGGGCATGTTCTCTGATCCCTCAGTGGAAAAAAAAAAAAGAAATGCCACCGGTGGCTGTAGGTGTTGCCTTACCCTTACACAGTGAGGGTCCCTGTGCAGACACGCCCAGCCGCTCGTAGCAGAGTGTTCTTGGGGAACAGCGGATCCAACTCAGGGTCAGTGTTTTATTGATGAGGTTCATTGGCTGAACCCTTGCAAGTTTGTTTATTTATTTTCAGTTTATCTATTTTGAAAGAGACAGAGCGCTAGCAGGGCCTGATGCGGGGCTTGAACTAATGAAACCATAAGATCACAACCTGAGCCGAAGTCAGGAGCCGGACACTTAGCCACCTGAGCCACCCGGGCGCCCCTGTACCGTTGTAAGTTTAATGGCGAGCAACACAATCTGTCATCAGTGTTGCTGGAAGAGAGAATCCACGTGACGTCATTACTTTCTCCGACTCTTGAGGGTTATTTCGTGCAACTTCCCGTCGCCATGTGCTCTTCGTTCTTGTGTCCTGAGCATCTTGTCCGTTTCTCCTTCCAACGCGGTAACACTGCAGGCTTACACGGAAACACGGCAAAGAGCTTTTGTCTAAGCCCTCAATCTTTCTTTCTGCGTTCTCTTGCCAGCGGGGGACACTTACCTGTTGGAAAAGATTCCGTTACCTTGTACTCCACGTATCTGAAACTGCGTAGGGTGCCTTCAAACCCGGGTTGTTGACAGTCCGGGGAGCACAGTTGCAGTCAGTTTGTTTTCAGGTGGCACAGTGCAGATAGGTTGTGAAGGAGACCTGGATGGATGGTTGCTTCCTGATCTAAAACATGGTTATGGAGTTTGGAATATTTAGTTATTATAACTAAGCAATAACTTACATCAGGCTCATTTTTAAATAAAATCCCACCTGAATGTAGGGAGGGAACCAGCTTCCCTGCCGCCCAGAACTGTCCATTAACTCTCTCATTTGTCTATCCCTCACCACAGCCATTTACTCCTTTATACCTGCAGGAAGCATTTTTAATTACTCAAGATTTGTGAAGTTGCTGTCCTTCATTTTAATCCAGAAATCTTTAGTTTTCGTGATTCTAAAGTCCCTTGGGGCCATTGATTTGAATGTTTGTACACCTGCCAGCAGTGCTGTGAACAGATCCTTCTGTCCATCTTCTTCCACTAGACCATCAGCCAAGACCTCGTCCTCTGCTGCCCATTTTTCTTTACCATCTTCTCCTGGTTCCTTTTGCCTTCTCTGTACAACAGAAGTCAAAACAGATTAGGGAAAAATCTCTAATGTTCAAAAGGGTTTAGAGAAAGAATGGATTTCTAATAAATTCAAATCTAAAACATGGTTCATGATTTTGGAATATTTACTTGTCATCAGTAAGTAATTGGAAAAGAGGAAAGTGGGTTAATTTTTATAAAGTCATGATTTTTATAAATTAAAGTTTGCGTAGACCTCTATTCCTCAGCCTGTTTCAGAGATAAGATACATTGCAAGATGTTAAGATGGGATCATTATATACATTTATTTTATAATAGGATGGTTTTTAAATGTGTCTCCACTCTTAAGGAGCCCAGGAGTAGACTACGACTTAAAATTCTGTTATTTTCTCTGCTCTATTATTTTCTCTCTGAAACTCGCCATGCGTTGCCGCTGTTGACCTGGAGATGGTAGTGTGGTCTGAGTTTTTAGATAAGCGCAGGAAATGGAATTCCCATTTTAAGTGATAAGTAAATCCTCCCCAGGCCTGTGTTCGCACAGGGTCAGAGGTGACCTCCCTCCCACGATGTAGGGGAGATGGGTTAGCCGCACGGGGCACGGTCAGGGGGCCAGGACAGGCTCGCCACAATCACGCAGACGTCCTTTCTTTATTTTACATAAAGTGAGGGTGAGCTCAGCTACACCACGTTCTCAGTACGACGACGTCCCTTCCCAGGATGGTCCCTGAACTAGAGGAGACTGTGAAAGGTGGAACGGAGCCAGCCTGACCCTGTGTGATTTTTTAAGGTGGTCATGAGGCGAGTGAGGGGTATTTGGCCATTGACTTACTTCACCCCGAGTCAGAGGCGCCCTCTCTCCTCTCACTGCGTGGGCAGGTCCCCCAGCCCGGCTGCTGATTCCTTAACGAGCCCAGGTGTGAGGAAAAGACGTGTGCATCCCTGGAAAGTAGGGAGACAGAGGATTAGAGCACCCAGGTGGTGGGAGGGCCGTGTGTGGCATGCATCCCCTCAACGCTGGCCCAGTCCCCGCTGCTGCCCCCAGTGCCGGCCCAGCCCCCGACCCCCCCCACAGTGCCGGCTCAGTCCCCGCCGCCCCCCCCCAGTGCCGGCTCAGTCCCCGCCGCCCCTCCCCAGAGCCGGCCCAGCCCCCGCCCCACATTAGTGCTGGCCCATTCCCTTCCCGCCCCCCCAGTGCTGGCCCAGTCCCCACCACACACATCACCACCCAGGTCTGTAAAAGAAAAGGAAGCTTTGGAGAAAGAAAGATTAGTCCACCCACTCGTTCTTAAAATTGAGAAGAAACCAAACATGATTCAGGAAGTCTAACAAAACCAACTGTGTTTGCATTCCTTCCGGGATCAGTTTAAGGGAGAGAAGGGAGTGGAGCGAGAGCAGAGGAAAGGGGAGGTGTGAGGCGTCCGGGGAGGACGCAGCCGAGAGGAGAGTCTGGGGAAGGGGGCCCACGCGCAGCCCACAGACGGAGTCGGGGGGGGGGGGGGGGGGGGGGGGGGGGGGGGGGGGGGGGGGGGGGGGGAAGCAGGAGCGGAAGTGGGCGGATATAAGAGCGATAAGCACACAAGGCTTTTTACGGAGCAGCGTAACTGGGCTCCGCTTATTTGTGCAAGTTGCTGCTGAGGGTTTTTGCAATAAACCGCATTGCATTTTCCTTACTTCTGTCTGTAAATGGGGGAGGTGGGAGTGGGGGTGGGGGTGGGGAGGGCGGGTCATGTCCAGGGCTGCCCTTGCACAGGTGAAATTAAAGGAAGAGCCTGATCTCTTCTCATTCACCCTTTCATTAAATCCGCTGCCTTCTCTGTGAACTGGGTTCTCCTCTCCAAAAGGGATATAACAATGCCCTCTTTATTTATCTCAAAATATAGTTTTAGGTAGGTTAAAAATGCAAATTGATGACAATTTAAGATTTCTAAGTAAGACATTGTCTCTTTAGTGTTAAAGTAACAAAAAGAGAAAAATATCTTTAGTGCTGAGACTTCTTTCTAAACATGTAAGGATTTTCTTGTTGTTTAGAGCTCCTTAAAAAATAGCAGCAGATCTGGGATCCTGAGTTCCCACCCTCGCTTAGAACCGCAGAGCATATACTTACAACCCATCCTGTTCCAGGCGCTCTGTAATCCAGATAAAATACCCGCACTAGAAAAATAAGCCGATTGAAAAATGCTCTTTGTTATGACACGTTAATTTCCATTTAAGGAAAATTAGTGACATAGCTTTAAATACTGAGATGCCATCTATTCGTTTATTTTAGAGAGAGAGTGCACAGGTACGCACATGTGAGCAAGGGAGGGGCAGAGGGGGGGAGAATCCCAAGCAGGATCTACACCCAGTGCGAGGAGCTGCCTCACGGTTGTGACATCATGACCTGAGCTGACATCAAGAGTCGGTCGCTTGATGGACCGAGCCACCCCGGCAGCCCTGAGATGCTGCTTTTAAAATTTATAATATATAAGGGCCTGAAGTTTTAGTTTTGTGGAGTTGGAGCACAGAGCTGGTGCTATAGACTAGTCTGAAGCGAAACTATGTAAATGTAGACTTTTGAACCTCGGTTCATCCAAGGGCTCTAGCAACAGAAATTGGGGAGCGGGGGCTTTAATTTCACTACCCCTGGAGGTAAAATGTAGCATTTCCTCAGGTTACGAACGTGGGCCTCAAGCCGGAGCGATTTTGTCAACACCTGTGATTTTGTCACCCAAAGACGTCACAGGTCTTTTCCACATTGCTGCCGTCCTAAACCTCTTAATTCATCAGGACTTCCAAAGTTTGACAGTTATCAGACCTATTGCTACTACTCTTTTAAGTTTATCAACTTATTTTCTGAGAGAGGGACAGTGAGTGAAAGCAGGGGAGGGGCACAGAGAGAGGGTCAGAGAAAGAGAGCGCGCCCTGGGGAGGTGCAGAGAGAGAGGGAGAATCCCAAGCAGTCTCCGTGCTGTCAGCTCAGAGCCCGACGCGGGGCTTGATCCCACAAACCTGTGAGATCGTGACCTGAGCTGACATCAAGAATGGGACGCTCAAAGAACTGAGCCACCCGGGTACCCAGGTGCCCCTCCCTATTGCTAGTACTCTTAACTCATGTGTTTTATATATACTGTTATATGAATTATTTTAATATTAGATCTCAAAATAACGAGCTTACCTGATATTTTTATTTTATTTTATGCATGTCATTGGGGCAGGGTTTACTAGCCTTCCCCGGACGGCAGGGGAACTGCCGAGCTTCCCTTCCTGTCGTCTCCCCCCCATCCCCCCTACCCCCGCATCCAAGCAGCTCTACAGCTCAGGGTAGGAAGACCTACCCAGTTCTGTTTTCCTTCTGCACAAGTGAATGCCAAGGACGCAGAGGTGCAGAGTGGAATGGACAGAGGTTTTGAAGTCGAACAGACCGAGTTGTTAAACGGGGCCTCTCCCCTTCGGCTCTGTCTCCCAGAGCAGGTAATTGCGCAGTGTCTAAATGGGAAGAATGTCACGAAGAGCTGTTCTCCCCCACGGTGTGCTGGCGAGGACAAGTGAGGGGCCGCGTGCCCCGGGTACCGGTGGCACACCAGGGCCGGGTGAGAGCCGCTTCTGTCGTTACTCTCGCGCGTTGTCGGGACGTGCTCTCGTCCCACGTCCCGCTCTGGGACGGTGCCTGAAGCCCCCACGGTGTCCGGGACGCTGAGCACCGGCGGAAACGTGGGAGGCTTGCTTATTAGTGTGCATCTTGAGAACCCTCTTGGCTGGTCCAGTGTGAACACTCTGCTGTAGTTAAGTTTTGTTTCCATCTTCCCAAAGCATCTTAACTTCCCTGATTGTAGTAGTTTCTTCTGAATTACTTTGCTGTCCTAGTTTCCTAAGGTGACTGTAACCAGTTTCCGCCAACGAGACAGCTCAAAGCAGCAGGCGTTTGTTTATTCCCATCGTCGTCGTACAGGTCGGAAGTCTGGGTTGCGTTCCGGCCTCTCCCAGCTCGGTGTTTGCCCGCAGTGCGGGAGCCGCTTGGCTTATAGATGCCCCACTCTGATCTCTGCGTCTGTCCTCCTGTGACTTTCCTTTCTTCTTTGTGCCTAAATTTCCCTCTTTTTCTAAGGATGGCAGCAGTTGGATTAGGGCTCACCTCAGCCAGTACTTCATTTTAACAGACTTCGTTTTAACTCGATCACATCTCCAAAGACTGGGTAGCTCAGTTGGTCGAGCGGCCCACTCTTGATTTCAGCTCAGGTCATCATCTCACGGTTTGTGGGACTGAGCCCCACGTCAGGCTCTGTGCTGATGTGCGGAGCCTGCTTGGGATTGTCTTTCTACTCTCTCTGCCTCCCCGCCGCCTTGTACTCCCCCTCAAAATAAATAAACTTAAAAAAATAAAAAATAAAAGAGATCATATTCACAGGCACTGGGGATTGGGGCTTCAACATTCCCATTAAGGGAGGGGGCCACAATTCAAGCCACAACTCTTGCCATTCGCTCCTATATACTTCCTTTAGACCTAGCTTCTAAATGGAGATATGTGACATCAGGGGTTTTTTTATGCAAGTCTTTTTCCTCAATTAATAATTTACTCTCACTGTGGTTTCAAAAAATGTTTTGAAGAGTCTGGCTGGAAGTAATAAGATCTAGCTGGCCTTTTGACTTTAGGAAGGAACCTTGTTTGGGAAGAAAAAAAATGCAGGCCTGACTAAGGAAAAAAACTTGAAAATGCTCCAGAGAAGCAAGAGTTAAAAGGTCAGCCACTCCACTGCAAAGTTTGTTTACAAACGTTTATGACTTGGGTGTGAATTGGCCAATCAAGCCTAGAGGCCTGGATGGATCTGAAGCTCGGGCTGCTGGACTGGGAGAAGCAGACAGGGACGGGCACGGGACAGGCTCTGGCATGGCCCCTTAGCACCCTCACAGTCCTGTTTGAAAGGCGAGAGGGAGTCTGGGAGAGCATGGATATGGTGAACTGCCTGTTCCTTCAGTGTGTCTGCGGACCGCCCCTGGCTGTCGCGGGGTCTGGGGTAAGTTATGACTTGTCGGGGAATGGTGGCTGTGGCGGTGGCTGTGGCTGTGGCGGAGGGGGGCGTTTGTAGCCGCAGGCGTGGTCGCCGTCACACTGTGCTCCCTGGCGTGCACGTCGGGCATGGTTCGGAAGTACGCAGATGGGGCCAGAAGAAGATTCAGGTTTAAAATATGCGTCAAAGCTCAGATTTGCTTTACAAGGACCGTGAGTCTCTTCTGGTTAAAGATCACGGTCCCTCCCTCTTTGCCAGGAGTAAAGGGGACTGTTTCAGCTGTATACATTGTTCTGTTCACTAGCTTTTGCCTTTGCTAGAGTGTGCAGTACCCTTAGAAAGGCTGCTTTCTCCTCCTGAATCTTCAGTGGGAAGGGAGAAAAGGTTCCAGTAGAATGGGTGGGGGGGCGGGGCCCACACTCGAGGCGGGACCCCTTGCCGGGCTCCTGCTCTCTCATTTCCTGCTTTGAGCATACCTGCCTGTGTCCACCTCCTCACTTCCCCAGTGTGTTTTGGCCTCAGGAGGATTTCGTATCTGAACAGCTAAGACCCCCTCTGGCTCTCCTCCGCCCACTTCCTTATTCTCCGCCTTAGCAGGGCTTCATTGAGGCAGCCCCAGGTTGCTTAAGTGCCAAAAGAAAAAGAAAAAATCTCCCCCCCAAAAAACAAACCAAAAAAACCACGCATAGATTTTGTTACCGGCCAGACTACTCATCTGCCTGTGATTTTGGTTTGCTTCTGGACCTTCCTAACACCTTGTTTCTGCACCTTTTAATTTCTCTGTGCTTAGATTGTGCCGTTCGGTGTAATAATGTTGTTACAGTCTCCGCGATATCCTGTTTTTCGTAGGTGGTGCAGAAAGTAACCTTCACTTTTTCATGATCTCTCATATTTTCCCGTGGTAGTGTCAGAGAGGAGAGCCTTGCCTTCCCTCCCACTTAGGCTTGCTGAGTGGGGGTGCGGGGAATTAAACTGACAAAAGACAGAGGAGCAAGAGAAAAGATGGGTTTTTATCATGTGATCAAGTGGGAGTTCACAGGAAAAAGCGGCTCCAGGAAGCAGTTAGAAGTGGAGGTACTGAACCCCTCTTACGAGGGGAAGGGGGGCTGGAGAAGGCCACTTATGGGAAACCCAGGGATTAAGGAAAGATAAAGGGGCCTGGGGAAGAGCAGCCATGGGAGGTCTGATAGTTTTGAGGCAATATCCAAGCTTTTCCCCTGAGCTGGTAAGAGTCATATCTTCCCTGGTTAGAAGAAAGAAAAATCCTATCCCAAGATAATGGATTTATGACCACTGAGTTCTTTTAGGAGTCTCTGCTTTCAGGCAGGTGAAGGAGTTCTGGGGAAAAAAGCCTATTCTTAACTACTGTCAGCTCAGAACAGTTTTTATGCCACAAGATATACTCTGGCCCCCCTCAGTGGTGACTGGATTTAAAGATAAAGTTCAGGGAGTCAGAATCAGCAGATAGCAAGGTGAGTGGTGACTGCAGGACTTTTGAGCAGAGGTGACTTGGTACGAAGGAAAGTTTCATGGTATCGTGGGAACACAGATTATGAGGCCCACATCTCAGCGTCTCTGTTGCTGCTGATTGGCCATGTGGCCCGGGGCAAGTCACTTAACTTCCCTGGGGCTTGGTATTCCTGATGTGAAAAATGGTGGTGGTGCAGTAGAGGGTCCAGAAATCTCTTTCTGCTCTCTTTGCTTTTCATCAGATTTTTCTTTAAGTTTTTTTGTAACATTTATTTATGTTGGGGATTGGGGGAGGAGCAGAGAGAGGGAGACAGGATCCGATGCAGGGCTTGAACTCGTGAGCCGAACTGGGATATCATGACGAGCCGAAACCAAGAGTCGGACCTTTAACAACTGAGTCACCCAGGCGCCCCATCAGGGTTTTCACGCTGCAGCGGCCCCTTGAACAACACAGGTTTGAACTGTGCAGACCCACTTATACGTGCTTTACAACTAAATAAATAAATACAGTATAATATTACAAATGTATTTTCTTCATGACTTTCTTAATATCTTTTTTTATAATACATTATTATAAAAACAGTGTATAATACACCTAGCATACCAAATGTGTGTTAATTGATATCAGGAAGACTTCCAGCGAACAGTAGGCTATTATAAGTTTTGGGGAAGCAGAAAGTTACATGCAGATTTTTGTCTGCACAGTAGGTAGTTGGGTGGGGGGGTTGGCACTTCTAACCCCTCTGTTGCTCAGAAGTGAGCTGTGTACGGGGCGCCTGGGGGGCTCAGTCGGTTAAGTGTCCGACTCCAGCTCAGGTTATGATCTCACGGTTCAGTTTGTGAGCTCGAGCCCCACATCGGGCTCTATGCTAACAGCAGGGAGCCTGGAGCTGCTTCAGATCCTGTGTCTCCCTCCCTCCCTCTCTCTGCCCCTCCCTCACTCACACTCTGTCTCTCTTTCAAAAATAAGTAAACATTTAAAAAAAGTTATTCTTTTAAAAAAGGAAGTCAGCTGTGTGTGATTTTAGGGAAGGGCTGGCCACAGGGATTGGAAATGCCAGGAGCTGTATTTGAGGTCTTAGTTGCCACTGATTAGCGAGCAGGGCCGTCCTCAGGCCAGGGCGGGGCCGCCCTGGGGCAGGGCCACTGCCCTTCTCAGGTCTCCAGGCCCCAGTGGCCTGTGCTGCCTGCCCCATCTGCCCCGCCCTTGAGTGACATCTCTCTAGTGCCCTTGTCTGTTTTTATTTTTTATATCTTTTAGAAATAATGACCAGGGATAGGAAAACTGAAGGAGCCCAGGCTCACAGATAGTGACCGGAGTCTGCCGCACCCTCCCACGGGCTCTCCTCTGAGCCAGCCTGGGGGGTGGGGAGGCTGCTGCTGGGATCGAGGTTGTGCCCGGGCAGGGCTGGGCCTGGGGATGGTTACTCTACACGCCTTTAGCAGCAGTAATGAACCGTTGGTGATGAGGGCTGTCCCCTTTACCACTGTCACAGCATTTCATCCACACCAGGACCGTCACTCCCTAGTGAACTGTTGCAGGACCAAGTCCCCAGACATTAAGTACCTGACCTGCACTCACAGAGCTGGCTCGTGGCGCGGCCTGACTCACACAGAAGGCTGCCCATTTCCAAGCTCACGGTGCCTCACTGGCTCTGAGAAAGGTATTTGAACTATTCGAAAGTATTGCCTGATATAGGACCGCAGACTCTCCCGCTGTGGGACTGTCTAGTCCTGAAAGGTTAGTCGCTCCTTGTTTGTGGCGGGCCACACAGCTAGTTCGTAGCCTGATCTGGTTCTTTGGGTCCTGGGTCTGTGCTCTCTCCATCAGACTTGACTCACTGAATGTCAGGCCTTAACAGCCCAGACATAATCTTATTAAAGCACCTTCTGTGTTTGAAGGTTGTTGCATGAAAATACCGTAGAGTAGCAATGTGAAGTGTTTGCAGTCATTCCTCCTTCTGGGGTCTTGCGTTTCCCCATGGCGTTGTTGTGTGCATTTTAGGTGACACTACAGTCAAAAGTTCTTTCAAGTAACTCACAGTGGTACTTAGTTTCTTAATATCTTTTGTCATAGCTCATCATTGGTCACCCTACATCACTATTTAAACTATGGTTTTAATTCAGCCTGCAGTGAGAGATGATTTGCGTATTTTAATGCATGTTTCAGTTATGTCTTTCCGTTATACAATTTTTTTTTTATTTAAAATTTTTTTATTTTTTTATTTTTTAATATATTTTTTATTTATTTCTAGGAGAGAGAGAGAGAGAGAGAGAGAGCGTGAGCAGGGGAGGGTCAGAGAGAGAGGGAGTCACAGACTGAAACAGGCTCCAGGCTCCGAGCTGGCAGTCAGCACAGAGCCCGACGCGGGGCTCGAACCCACGAACCGTGAGATCATGACCTAAGCGAAAGTCGGACGCTTAACCGACTAAGCCACCCAGGCGCCCCTAAAATTTTTTTAATCTTTTTTTTTTTTTTTTTTTTCTGAGAAAGAGATAGAGACAACATGAGCAGGGCAGGGTCAGAGAGAGGGAGACACAGAATCTGAAGCAGCTCCAGGCTCCGAGCTGTCAGCACAGAGCCCAATGCAGGGCTCAAACCCACAAACCGTGAGATCGTGACCTGAGCAGAAGTCAGACGCTTAACCGACTGCACCACTCAGGCACCCCACACAAATAACTTTTTAAATGAACACTTAAGAAAGCCTTGAGGCAAGGCTAGAGAGGATGGGGGCGGGGTATGTGGCTTGTTCTTTTCCAGTCCCTCCCTGGACCTTGGTGCTCACCTAACTTGTTCGCCTTTGAAAAGGTTGTGGCCGAGGAACCCTGGAGGCGGGGCTCATCACGGGATGAAGAAAAGACAGAGGCTCAGAGGATCACCAAGAGGAAATGGGGTTCTGGGAGAAGGTCAAGGCCCCGGCCGCTCTCCGACTATGGCCAGTTGGCCAACCGAAGTCTCTCTATTCCTGAGGACTCAGTTGCTGTGGACCCCCAGAAAGAGGATGCCGCGGACGGGGACCACCAGCCGAACACGGCCCCCGTGGACCCCGCAGAGCAGAACCCCGCCATGGGCGGCCCCAGAGGAAGCCGGAGAAGACGCCCCGTCTCTGTGATAGGTGGGGTCAGCCTCTATGGGAACAGCCAGACGGAGGAAATAGAGAGTCTTCTAACCCAAGTAAGATGTGGGTGCTTTCCCCGCAGCTCCCAGAGGCCTCCAGCTTCCTGGCCTTTGTTCTCCGCTGCAGACTAACTAGACGGGCCTCTGCTTCTCTTTCTTCTCTCTGCTCAAGGACGATAGACTCCAACCTTTCCTCCTGACTGTGGAAACACGCGGGAATTACACTAACAATCTGACGTGCGGGTGCCTTTTACTAAGCTTCTGTCTCTTGGCATCTCCAATGATATGTGAAACTACTTTGCTCTTTGTTCTAAATCACCAGAGATTTTAATAAGGGGAACGTAGCACTGCATATTCAGGGAGCTTCGCGGAAGAAGTTCTTGAAAGAGAAAGTGCCCTCCAGTGTTAAAATGTAAAGATAAGAAGAAAGTAAGCGGTAGGTTTCTTAGGAGCCAAGGAAATAATTTTTTCCCACCATTTTTGTGCTCTTTACCAATAGATTACAAGTGTTTATCAGTTACCCAAAGAGCACTTTGAGGTTGCAAAACATTTCAATGAATTTAGGTCCTATTCAGGAGGAGTGTGTGTTATTTGCTGAGACCTGGTCCAGGGCTCCCAGCACAGTATAGGAGTCCGTGCCCAGTTTCACTTTCTGAGCTTGCTAGCTGATACCGTAAATAACTCCTAAAATTCTCTTAAAAAGGCAGGTCTATGTCAGTATTGGGTTTTATGTTTGACTTCTCCCTATAAAGCCCATCGCGATGCCCTGTTTATAGCAAGCACTCAGATACCTCTTGTTTAATTGAGTTACACTGAATTGAATTCTTAAGGCAAAAAAAATGAAGTGGAAGAATACCATGACCTTGACTTCTTGTGGTAAGATGTGTCCTACGCTAGGAAATAATTCTGAACCAAAGCAAACCATAATCTGTTGTAGCTTGAAACGCGGTCCAGACAGGGGGAATCTAGAGCACTTAGAGATTATCTCACTTCAGAGCCTCAAGAAGGAATGTGGTGAGATAATTTTATGCACTCTAGGCTCATTTAGGGAATTGGGTGGGAAAATCCTCAGATAACCCAAGGACAACGTAAACCAACTTGGCTTTCGACTTAGTTATAGGGATGGTTCATACGGTAGATCAACAGGGGATGTGGGCCATTCTAAAGAGACCTGGGTACATTTGCGGAAACCCAGCCCTTCTTTTAAACAAAGCTCCATCGTAATGATGGTTGAGGTAAGGAAGATCTGTGTCCCACGAGCATTTCCCAAGTGCCTGCATGCGGAAGTGGCCGGGGGAGCCAGTCCGAGTCCACCGTCCAGGACCTGGTCAATGGCACTGTTTCCCTTGGCAGCCGCTTCTGGGAAGGCTTCTTTCCCTTCTGACCCTGCATCTGCGTGAGAAACCCACCACTTCCTATATCTGCTTGTCTTCCTCTTGGATGCTTTGCTCTTACTGTTACCCCTTGGCATGTTGCGAGCACATAAGGTGCCATGTGTGCCCTGGGGTAAGAGCCATCGAGTCGATACTGGGTTTTTGAAAATCTTGGAACAGTTCGTTGCAGCCGAACCTCTCGCTGCAGCCCGCAGCCCTTGCCGCGATTTGGAAAAAGCACTTCCGGTGTGTGAGTGGCCTCGAGGTGACAGCGCTGAGCTGCTCACAGCTGTGTGTGTAAAGCACTTGTGAGAGGTGCCACTTCCTGGCACCCCCTCACCGCCTTCTGCTTTCCTTTTGCAGCCTGCAGCCAGGCCTCCCGTGCCGGCGCACCAGGTGCTGCCCTACAAGGCGGTTTCGGCCCGGTTCCGGCCCTTCACCTTCTCCCAGAGCACCCCCATCGGACTGGACCGCGTGGGACGCCGGCGGCAGATGCGAGCGTCCAACGGTGAGTGTCCCAGGCCCGCCCCGGTTGGGGGCTCCCTTCTCACACGCTGGTGTGTGGAGTCCTCGGTGGGACCGCTTCCTGTGAGGCCAAGGTGCCTGCTCGGCGGCGGGCCACCCCGCTGCCTGGGCCAGGGCGTTGTTCACCCGCGAGCAAGGAGGGCTCGTCTCCAGCCGTCCCCGCAGGCCCGGGGGCGGCACCGGCTGGCCAGAGTGGGTGAGCTGAGTCACCCCGGCAGAGAAGGTTGCCCCTGTCATTTCTGCGCACCCACCCGAGTCCCTGCAGGTGGAGGAGCTAGGGATGGAGCCCCAGGCATTTGTCGTCAGCCTTTGGAAGCTCTTTCTGGGCGTCTGAGATCCACTGATGACTGTCTTGAACTGCGAAGAAAAGTCCAAGAGAGTAGTTAACATGCCGTCACAGTACTTCCCAGTCAGTCCTTGTCGATCCGAACTAATACCGCGTGTTCTTGGAGTGATGTTCACATTCCTAAGAAAGAAAATCCCACCCTATGCTGGCACTCACGTCAAGGCCGACCAGCCGGCGGGACGGTGGTGCGGCCTGCTGGGCCTGCAAGGGAGGCATGGGCGCTAACACTTAGGGAAGACTTGCCAGGGGCAGCCTGTCCCGTGCGCTCTGATGCCTTAGCTCCTTGGATCTTCGTGACCACCTGCCACGTTAGCTGCTATTGGTGGCCTCGTTTTACCGGTACAAAAGCCCGGGTGTCCACAGATCACCTGCCCTAAGTCACTCAGCAGGAAGGGGCAGGGATGGGATTTGAATCTACAAATAGAACTTTTAAAACCCAGCGGTTCCTGTGTAAGCACTGAACTCTGCTGACTCTTTAAACGCGTGCAGCGGACACGGGGGATCCCAGCTCCCACGGCATGGTTTCCTGGCTTCCTGTTAGAAGGTCAGTGTCGCGCGGTGGGCACGGCCTTCTGGAAGCCCGAGCAGTGCCACTGCCTCGCCGCGTAGGCAGGCCCTTCACGGGATGGCATGCGCCTGAGGCCGTGCGAAGAGGCCAGGGTTAGAGACGTGAAGAAGGCCGAGGGTGTCCCTTGAGGCACTGGATTTCCAGGGAGAGGAGGAGAGGACACATCGATGGGTGGGGGAGGGAGGGAGATCAAGGAGGCGTGGACTCCTTGGGCGAGGGAGTCCCTTCCAAGGACAGGTTGAAGGGGATGATGGCCAGTGACCAAAAACACGAAGGAAGTTCGCTGACGGGTTCCGACACAGACGTCGTTGAGGACCGGCCGCACTGGGCAGGGAGAGCTCAGCGAGGGGGCAACAGGGAGGACGTGCTGCTGCACCTGATTGTCCTGCCTTGGTTTTGTGTCCGGTACACTGCGGGGAGCAGGGCTTGCAGGTGGAGGTCAAGGAAATTGCTGAACGGCTCACGCCTTAGTCAGCCTCGCAGCGGTGCAGCTGGACACTTGGCACTCATCGCTCCCCGCCATGGGGAGTCACGAGGTCCTGTCCGTTGGTTCTCAGGTCCTTCAACAAGTGTACTGGCTTTTGTGCAGCCCGAGTCTCCCCTTCCACCCATGTCTCTCCCTTCTCCCGCCGGGTTCGCCATCCAGCATTCCTGTGCCTGCTCTAGGCTTTCACACTCCCTTCGCGCTACCCACGGCGTGCCCTCTGCCTCGAGTTCCCTTCTTTCCCTCTCCCTTGGGTCCGCATTTTTCCCATCCACAATTCAAAACTCGTTCCCTTGTGCGCCCTTGGAGACAGAGTGCATCCCCCGTCCTCCTTCCGCAAGGCTGCTCGGCCCCCGGCCTCACGTTCGTTCCCTCTGGCCCGGGCACCCACATCTGGCGATGTGTTTGGGGAAAGTCACCCAAAAGGAGAAAGAAAGCTACATGCACACAGTGTTCACAGCGCGTGATGGCGCGGAAGTGGACGCCATGTAAACGTCCCGTCGCCCTGGAATTGCAAGGTGGAGGTGGGGTGCTGCATAGGCTGCGACTTCAGAACAGCTCACCACGTAAGTGGGAAAACCGTGCGGCAAACAACATGAAAAGCGACAGCTGCGATTTTCAAGTGAGAACAACTAGAGAATCAAATCATGTATATTGTATGAGTCTGCTAAGGCCGCTGTAACAAAGTACCAGGAACCGGTGCCTTCAGTGCAGAAACGCATCGTCTCAGTACTAGAGGTGAAGGTCCAATGAAAGTTTGGGCGGGCTGGTTCCTTCCGACGGCAGGGCCGGGGCTCTCTGCCAGCCCCTGTCCCGGCTCCCTGTCATCTTGGGTACTTGTTCCCCGGGCACGTGTGTGTATCGCCTTTGCCTCTGCCTTCATCTCACTATGGCCTTCTCCATGCCCTTGAATTCAGGCCCACCCTCATAATCTCATCTCAACCTGATCATCTACTAAGACCTTATTTCCAAATAAGGTTACTTTGACAGAACTGGCGGTTAGGATTTCCATGTTTGTATGCGGGACATCAGCCTATAGCATATACCATGATTGCAGCAATTTGCAACACGTATGCACATGGTCAAGGATTTATCAAGAATATGCGAAAACGAAGGCAGTGTAATTCAGTTGGAAGGAATGTAGGTGAGTTCTCCAACCCTATACAGCCCTACACAGCCCTGCACAACCCTACACATACAATCAGTTTATGTAACAGTGTTTTGTTTTGATTTTTGTTGAGAAGCAACAAAAACTAACTCCGACCAGCTTAAGCAAAAAGAGGTTATGTTGGAAGGGTGTTAGGTGTTCCCAGAGTTGAAAGAATGGGTAGAGAACCAGTCTAGGAAATGGAGGGCAGTCAGGGTCGCTCCTGGGAAGCAAGGACCCACGGGCAAGGAGCTGAGGAAGGTGTGCAGTGAGAAGGTGTGAGGCTGCTCCTGGGAGTGAGCAAAGAGCTGTTCCTTCTGTCTTTCTGTCACTTACTCAAGAATCAAAGTCCCAGGATAGAGAAATCAATTCTTTTTTTTTAAATTTTTTTTTAATGTTTATTTTTGAGAGAGAGAGACTGAGCACAAGTTGGGGAGGGGCAGAAAGAGAGGGAGACACAGAATTCGAATCAGGCTCCAGGCTCTGTCTGCACAGAGCCCGACACAGGGTTCGAACCCATGAGCTGTGAAATCATGACCTGAGCTGAAGTTTGGATGCTTAACTGACTGAGCCCCCCAGGTGGCCCAAGAATTCCATTCTTGCAGCTCAGGTGACATGTCTGCCACCTGGTGCCACTGGGACGGGCACAAGGGCTGGTGCCTCCAGAGATGGAGGGCTTTGCCTTCCACGTGAGGGGCAGGCGCTCGGGTTTCCTGTCACCAAAGCTGAGCACAGTGGAAGGGAGGCCATTCCCTTACAGGAAGTCCAAGTCGTGCTGGGAATAGAAATAGGGGCGCCTGGGTGGCTCGGTCAGTTCAGCACCCGACTCTTGATTTCAGCTCAGCTCATGATCTCACGGTTCATGAGATTGAGCCCCACGTCACCTGCTTGGGATTCCCTCTGTCTGTCTGTCTCTCTCTCTCTTTCAAAATAAATAAATAAACATTAAAAAAAAAAAACAAATAGAAATAGATTCTGGACGGGGTCTCCCTTTGTTCGTTTGTTCATTCATATATCCAGTAACTGGTGAGTGCTTACCGTGTGTCGGGTGACAGCAGTGAACAGAACAGAGCCCTTAAATCACTCACACTCTGGTGAGGGGATAATGAGTTAACAAGAGGCTCTGTAACGGGGCAGGTGGGATCATAAGGAGGAATGAAGAAGACTGGAGGGTGTTCATTTTTTTAAAGATGTCATTCTCCCATGATGCACCTGTCCCGTGCATAATTCAGACCCGTCACTCTTTCCCTGGAGGGAGACAACTCAGAAGCTTGGCAGTTCCTGCAGGGCCCACAGAGCCCTGTCCGTTTCTTCTCCAGTCTGTCACAGCGCCTCTTCCACCCCGTACACCCAGAGGTAAAGTCAAGCACCACCTGGTTATCATAATGGAAGGAAAGGCGTGAGAGCGGGGGGAAAGGGAGTAGAAAATACTTACATACATGTATCTCTAGATGGTCCCACCAAAGGAACCTTCCCTCTCCTGCTTCTGGTCGCAGGGTCATACCTGCTTTTCTTGACTTTGCCAGTCTAGTTGCTCTCACATGCTGGCCTGGCCCCTGCCCGGGACCGTACCTGGCCGTGTTCTTTGCCAGCCGAGGGGGCCCCGACTCCGCTCCGCAGCATGGGGCTCTCAGTGGTTCTGCTCGCTTAGAGCCACAGTAGTCGTATTTATTCCCCTCCCTGAGGCAAAAAGCAGTCCATGTATATAAAAACACAGGGAGCACCAACCTGCGCCTGCCGGGCACCGGTCTTCGCGTTTGCAAATAGAGCAGAGGATAAAGCCTTGCAAAGGTCACATTCTAGCATTGACACCAATTGAGTAAGTCAGTAAATAGCAGTGGCTCCGGCCATGATGATGGCTCCCGAGAGAATGAACGTGGGCGATACAGGAGAGAGTGTAGGGACGGGCACAGCAGAGAGTCCCAGAGGGTCCCTAAGGAGGTGACGCTGGAGTGGAAGCTCTCAAGATGAGCAAGAGCCAAAGATCTGCTGGGGGAGAGGTCTCAGTGGAAGGAACATCAGGGGCCCAAAGTTAGGCTGGAACTTGATGTGTCTGAGGCCCTGTGAGAGGGCCGGGGTGACCAGAGTTCAAGACCCAAGGGCAGGAGAGGGCGTTGCAGCCTGGTGGGGAGGCTGTGGCCGGACAGAGAGGGCATTGCAGATCTTGGGTGGGACTTGGCTTTACTCTAAGTGAAACGGGAAGCCATTGCCAGGCGGGGAGTGAAAGGCACTGATTTAAGGTCTAAAGAGGAAGGATGGTGCGGGGGAGAAAAGGCAGAGGAAGGGAGACTGATTTGGACACTATTGCATAAGTCCAGTTGGGAAACTGTGGTGGCAGTGACCACAAAAGATGTCCCTGTCTGTTTTGGGTGCTCATTTCCCCCAGTGCACGGGGCGGCGAAAATGGCCGGCCTTGGTTCTAATCCAGTGGGGCCGGGCCTGCGAGTTCTGAGGGAAGGACTTCTCTCTTGGGGGAACAAACTCAGTTTTGACAGGCAAAGTTGTTGAATAGGAAGAAAATATTTTGCACGCATATTATTGAGTGATCACGGGAAGCAATCCCGGTGCTGGCCCTTTGTTTCTGGACCCATGTGTTCTGGCCAGGGGTGAGCATCACCTTAGCAGTCACCGATTCGGTGCCATACACGCCCTAGCACAAGTTCCAGCCGTGTCCCCAAGCTGTCTCCATAACATCATTTTCGTTAGGCCCTGAGTCCACGCTTCTGGACGATGGTAGGCAAGATAAGCTCATGAAGCTCGTGGGTACAGGCTGTCACCGCACTTCCCTCACTGGGGCCCCTGGGTAGCAGCGTGGTCACGGGAGGTGCTGTGACGGTATCGAGGCCTTCAGTGAGATTCTGGCAGAGGTCTGGCAGGTAAAGAAAGCAAACACAAATCTAGAAAAAATGTCTTCCCCACCAGGGACAGATCACATACCCCTCTATTATGAAAAGGGCCCATTGTAATCGGCTTGCCACAAGGAGCTGTCTGGTCCCTTCAGGGAACCATGTCATTAACTTTGTTGAGAGGGACACCCTATGATTTAGCCCCGGCCTGGCATCCATTTCTGCCACCATGGCCATTTTTTTTTTTTTTACCCCAAACCCACTGAGGAAGCATCAGGATGACTAGGAACAAAGATTTGACATTTGTAGAGTGAGACATAGTGTTCACACCGTTGTTAAACAGCCTCTTTTGCAATAGGATTCACATGGGACACAATCGGGTGTTCCTATGGGACAGACGATCTCTCGCGCTTTCAGCGGATTCTGACATTGAATTGCACTCCTTCCCTGAACCAGTCCATTACCTACTTTGCTCTTCCCAAATTCCTCCTAGCGATTCAGCCGAGCCATTATCCCACCCATATATCCACACAAGCTAAGTCCCTGCTCAGGCCCTCTCTCCTCCAGTCAGAAAGGATTAGGAAGAATTATGGCTTAGATTTTACTGCTGGGAGTTTCCCCTTGGGGGGGGGGGGGCAGGGGGCACAGTTACCGGAAGATCCCTTTAGGGGAGGCTGGAAGGAGGAGCTGTAACTGGGATACCTACCCCACGGCTACCTGGCTTCTGCTTGATGAAGAGGCCCTGAGTCTGGAAGCCCCCTGATCTGGGAGCTGTGGAAGGGCCCCTGATTCTCCATCACGATGGTTCGAGTCAGGTTTCCGTCACCAGGTTTGGAATTTTCTGACTGTGCAAATCAAGTGATACCTGAGTGGAGCCACTTACCACTTTGTCCCTGCAGACCCTGTGACAGGTTAAGGACAGCCAGGAATCACGCGGGCTGGCCATTCTAGAGGTGAACTGGACGTGCGGCCCAGTAGAGGACAGCTTTACCTGTGACAGCTGTCCTACCTCCTTGGGTCCTGGACTTCAGTGGTCTCTCACTGACTTCCCGAGCCTAGACAGAGTAGCAGCTGGTGGTTATGAGTCACTGTCACCTCCATCATCTGGCTTGGGAGTCCCAGCCTGGGGGACGATGAGTCCGGGGTACACTAAGTACAGCATTTCTATCTTTCTGGTCCTTGCACTTCTGTCTTCCTCTGTGCCAAATGCTGGCGTCTCCACTGCCTTAAGAGCGGGCCAGTGCTGGGTCCAGGTCTGTGGCCCTCCTAAGTGCCAGAGTGACAGCCAACTCCATGAGCCCCTGTGTTGCATGCACGATCTCTGGTGAACGTCACCCAAATGGACAGATCGGGTTTAATCTAAATTCACATTCAGTAAATGCAGTGCGTGTGCCTTATATGGGTCCTGATACCAGCAAACCAGCTATAACAGGATCGTTAGGAGACAGGTGGGGAAATTTTCACATGGACTGAGAATTCAGTGAAGGAATTGTTCATTTTGTTAGTAGGAATAATGATAGTGTAGTTATCTTTTTATAATTTTTTTAATGTTTATTTTTGAGAGAGAGAGAGTGTGGGGTGGGGGGGAGGGACTGGGAGAGAGACACACACAGAATCCATAGCAGGCTCCAGGCTCTGAGCTGTCAGCACAGAGCATAACGTGAGGCTCGAACCCACAAACAGTGAGATCAGGACCCGAGATGAAGTTGGATACTCAACTGACTGAGCACCCCCAGGCGCCCGGATGGTGTAGTTATTTTTAAGCCCTTACTTGTTATGGGTACCTACTAAAATATTTTTTTGCACGAAGCAGTATATGTGAGATTTGCTTTAAAATGCTCCAAAAAGTCACTTACAGAGGTTGGGAAAAAATTGATAATGGCGGGTTCATCTTTTGATTTCTCTGCTTTTGTGTGTGTTTGAAGTATATCCTAAAAGTTTTTAAAAAATAATGAAAGTACGTTTCCTCCTCCCTGGATTTGCTCCCCAAATCTGCAAATCAAGAAATGGCCACGACTAAATTTTTCTCAAAATGTAGGAATTTGAATATTCACAAATTAATTTTTGTGAAGAAATAAAGACCTCCTCCTTCCACTGGAGGCGAGCCCTCCCTTCGCAGCACTCATTCCCCGCACTGTGCGGTGCTCCGTTCTAGCACCGAGCCCTCCCCTGCTTTGGGCCCAGTATGGCCTTGCCTCCTTCCTGGCCCCTGTGAAGGAAGGTTACCGGGAGCGGTGCTCACTCATGCTTATCAATCGTTATGGGCCACGTCTTGAAACCACAGAATCGAGTCAGGAATCACATTGGCACTTGCGCGTCCTTTCCTGAAGTTCCCGCATGGGAGCTGCCAGCCCACGGAAACCTCACTGCTTTGCTGCCCATGGTGTTCACGGCACTTCTTACTCCCCGGGTCCTAGCAAGCCTGCCCGTGCAGTGGCAGCTTCCTCTCGATCAGTCATCTGTGCTGCCTTTTGCTTTCTTCTGTGAAGCTTCTGTCTCACCTCCAAGGCACCTCATTCCGTCACAACCTCCCGACGCTCCTGATTTTCCCAGATTGACTTTGGGTTCCTGCTTCACGCGTCCCCTTAACAGGCCTTTGTCGATCAGAAGTCAGATCTGATCACTTCAAAATTCTTTCTTGTCTGTCTTCTCGTCTCACCCATCGAGTTCAGATTCTCTTGCTCATGTGACATAAACCAAGTGATTGTCTTAGCCAGAAAGGAAACATTTCCCAGAAAGGACCACATTCAGTTCCCCCAGTGCTTATATTTCTGTGGAATCTTTATGGGTCACAAGCAAGGAGCTAAAATGTGACCTCGAAGATCAGTAGTAGATTTGGGGATGCCATTTTTAAAAATGTCTGTCTGTGGGGCACCTGGGTGGCTTAGTCGGTGAAGCATCCAACTTTAGCTCAGGTCATGATCTCAACGGTTCCTGTGGTTTTGAGCCCCAGGCTCTGTGCTGACAGCTCATTGCCTGGAGCCTGCTTCCGATTCTGTGTCTCCCTCTCTGTGCCTCCCCTGCTCACTTTCTGTCTCTCTCTCTCTCAAAATAAAGACATAAAATTTTTTTAATGTGTGTAATAGTTTTAAAGCCTTGTCATTAACCAATAAATACTGTATTATTTTGTAATAATGCCACACAACTGAGGAGAGAAAACAGGATTAAGTAATGATTAAATAATAAAAAATAAGATGGTTTTCTGAGGAGATACACACATGGCAAGTTGATCTGATTAGACTTTTTCTTTTCTTTCTTTTTAGTAAACCCCACACCACACAGTGGGCTTAAACGCGTGCTCTACCAAGTCTGCCAGCCAGGTGTCCTGACTATGTTAGACTTTCTATGGCTTTTAGAAAAATTTCTCAATTACTCAAATTATTGCTTGACTTGATGTTTTAAAAAATATTTACATCTGAATTTCCTATGAGTATAGTCATTTTTTGCAAGCTTGGAAAGAGAATTAAATTAAGCCATTGTAGCCCTATAACATGGCCTCGGCCAGAATCATTCAATCTTCAGCAAAATGATGTACTAACTGAAGTTGCTACAATGACCTTGTGAAAGTCTAATTCATAACCCCCACCCACACTTTGCCTTAGGAAAACAGTCAAAAATTCCAGTCTGTAAAGGCAAGATATGTGTAAAGAACATCTTTTCTTTCTTTTTGTTTTTAATATCCAATGTCGTTAACCTACAGTGTTAGATTAGTTTCAGGTGTTCAATATAGTGATTCAGCGTTTTTATAAATTACTCAGTTCTTAACATGGTAAATATACTCTTAATCCCCTTCACCTACTTTACCCATCCCCCCACCACCTCCCCTCTGTTACCATCAGTTCTCAATAGTTAAGTGTCTATTTCTTGTTTTTCCTCTCTTTTTTTTCCCCCTGCTTGTTTTGTTTCTTAAATTCCATGTATGAGTGAAATCATGTGGCATTTGTCTTTCTCTGACTTGTTTTACTTAACATAATACTCGTTAGCTCCATCCATATTGTAAATGGCAAGATTTCATTCTTTGTGATGGCTGAGTATTATTCCATTGTGTCTGTGTGTGTGTATACCACTTCTTTATCCAATCATCTGTTGATGCACACTTGGGCTGTTTCCATAATTTGACTGTAAATTTACTGTTGTAAATAATGCTTCAGTAAACATTGGGTACACATATCCTTTCAAATTAGTGTTCCCATACTCTTTGTACAAATAACCAGTAGTGTGCTTACTGGATCATATGGTAGTTCTGTTTTCAATTTTGGGGGGGGAACCTCCATATTGTCTCTCACAGTGGCCGCACCAGTTTGCAGTCCCACCAACAGTGCATGAGGGGTTCCTTTTTCTCCACATCCTCACCCACGTTTGTATATCAAAAACAATTTGGTCTAGGGGCGCCTGGGTGGCTCAGTCGGTTGGGCATGTGACTTAGGCTCAGGTCATGATCTCACGGTTCGTGGGTTCAAGCCCCACATCGGGCTTTGCTGGCAGCTAGGTCAGAGCCTGGAGCCTGTTTCAAATACTGTGTCTCCCTCTCTCTCTGGCCCTGCTCACGCTGTCTCTCTCTCTCTCAGAAATAAATAAAACATTTAAAAATTAAAAAAAAAAAAAACATCTTGGTCTACCAAGGGCAGAATGACCCAAACTGTACACTGACCAACCTGTCTGTGAGCACATTAGAACGCACTAATGATTAGTGGAGGGAAGAGAGTTGGCCCTTGAGTAATGTGGGGGGTTGGGGACCCGTCCAGGCCCACCCTGTGTCATCCAAACCCCAAGTATAACGTTTGGTTCCTTCAGAACGTAACTACTAATAGCCTCCTGTTGGCCAGAAGTCGTATTACTACATATTGATTACCATATATTTTGTCTATTTTATGTATTGCATACTGTGTTCTTATACTAACGTAAGCTAAAGAAAATGTTAAGAAAATTGTAAGACAAGCCGGCTGACTTTTAAAATGCCAAAAATTAAGAGAAAAAAAATGATAAAGAGAAAATACATTTACAGTACTGCACTGCATTTATAGAAAACAATCTGCACATACGTCGACCCACACAGCTCAAAACCCATGTCGTTCAAGAGTCAGCTGTATTTTGAAAACCTGCTCTGAGTGTGTAAAGCCTCCTGGTTCCAGTGCCACTAAGAAAGCAAGTAAAAGACACCGTGGCCGTCAGACCGCTGGCTGGTCTTACCAGGGACCAGCCCTGGAATCCCAAGGCAAGTGTGAGGAATAAGGTAACATAGAGATTTCCAAAATAAACGAGTGCGTGCTAAGAAGTTCAACCTACTGTATTTTCCATTTTGCTGGGGAATAAATAGAGGACGATTTTAGCTTAAAGGGTGGATGGCATGGGTGCCTACCCCTGAATAGCCCCCTGCTTCCCCCAGTTACTATTGTTTGCACGGTGTGTATCCACGTGGAAACACGTGTCAGGACCTCGTGCCGGGTCAGGAGGCGAAAAGAAGAGCGATTCCTAGTTAGTAAGCTCAGTTACTGTCTTTCGGGGTGGACCCCACTGGCCATCACAGTATGGTCGAACATCTGCTAACTGGCCTCCGCCCCATGCCTTCAAGCTTGGTTCAGTCCCATCCGTGACTTCTCCTTGCAGACAGGGGTGCTGGTCCCCCGCGAGTCGTCCCGGGAGGCGCGGGGTGCCCACCAGATCCTTGCCCTGGTGAACCCCGCAGCCACATGAGGACTCCTCCTTGCTGAAGCGACAATAATGCAGACGGCCCAAGCAGAAACGACGGGGTGGGGGGGCGCCTAGTGGGGGCCCTTCTTAAGCTAACGTGGGCGTGCAGGGCCCCAGCACCCGGGCGGGCACATCCCCGGAGCCCAGCGGGCTGGAGAGGCTGCTCCCAGCCGTGCCCGGGTGCCCCCCTGCGTGCCGCCCCCAGGACGGCCCCCACGCCTTGCTTGCTTCCATGTGGAGCGCATTGCCTACACCGTTAAGGAGAGGAAACGTGTACTAAGACCCTGTTTGCTTACCTTAATGCACGCTTGGGGATTGCCGCTCGGGGGGGACGCTCCCTCTCTGTCTTAGGCTCCCGGGTCTTCAATCTGATTTTGTAGTGAAATGTACTCACTCATCAGATTTCCTGTGTGCTTATTTACTTCTCCCCGTCGAGGAACTAGCATGGGAGGTGAAAGCACGATGATTCAGCCTTATCGGGCAGTGGACACTAGTGTTAGAAGCGGTAGAGGTCGTGCCGTGAAGACTAGTCACTCCGCTGTTTCCGCAGGGCCCCAGGCGCTCCCGAAGGTTCCGAGGCGAGGCGAGCCGATCCGCCCGTGGTTTCCACACCTCCCTATGTGCACGTCACAAACGCATGTAGACGTCACGTGTTATCTCCGTGCGTCCGTGTCTGCCGTTAGGGGTGACGTCCGGGGTGGGGACCTGAAAAGCCACTGCAAGGGTAAAGTAGGTGTGAAGCGGGGCGCGCAGAGCAGGTCCGGGGGGCCCCAGACTTCCTGGAGAAGAAAACGGCATCAAACTGATACCAACGTCGAGACTCCGTTGCCCCAGCAGCGGGAGGGCCCCTGGGGGGTAACAGGCCGAGTATGTCGGGCGGAGTTGCCTCACAGGGTCCTCTTTGCGAAGGAGAACACGGGATAATTTCCAAAGCCGGGCTAAGCAGGCGCCTTCCACTGGGCTCGGGGTGAGGAGCCCAAGTGGGGAGACATCGACGTGAATGGGCGGGCATAAGGTTGCACATGCGCACTCAGAAGCCACGCCCACACGTACCGTGTAGCTTATGCTAATGAAGCCTAGGCCCCGCCCAGGGAGGGATTTTAAGGCCACGAAGCTGAAGTAACTGAGGGGCCTTTTATGACTCGTCTGCGCAGCCGCAGCGCCGGCCGGGCGGGGGTCCTACCCAGGATGGTTCTTTTCCTGTGCCAACACTTAGCCCCCTAGTTTCTAAAAGAGAAAATTGATAGTGAGACAGAGGCTTCAAGGACTTTCCCTGGGTTCGGGGACTCGCAGTCAACCGCGTGAAGGGGGAGGGGAGTTAGATACGGTTTGTTGTCGGGGAAGGTGTAGTCCAGGCAGAGGGAACAGCGGATGCGCTGTATACTCGCAACGCTTCGGAAGGGTCTCGGGTTCTTACTGTACAGTGGGAATCACAGTGGACACGTTGTGGTGTGACTTATGCAGGAAAGGACGCAGGGTTGCGGTCAGATGATCACACACGAAGACCTCCGGTCCGTTGTGATAGCAAAGATGAATTCACATTGCCCTTTCAGAGGTTTCAAGCCACGCGGTGTGTGGCCTGCGTGCGGGTAATGTTTTTGACTTAGGGCTTCCGCGCGGTCCGACTGACACCTCGGGAGGTGTCCCGGCTGTCAGGAGAAGCTTGAGGTGTTGAGAGAAGAGTCTAGACTGGAGGTCAGAGGTAAGGACCCGCCCATTAGGGCCCCTGGGTGAGGGGATTAGACCAGCCCGGGCCAAGTAGGAGCCACTGTAGGGTTTTAAGTGGAGCGAGGTGATCAGATTTGCGTTTTAGAGACGGGCTGGCTAGATTGTGTCCTTTCTGGAGGCGGGAAGAGCAGGTTACTAAGTCAGCCGGGCTCGCCCCGATTTCAGAACATGACCATAGTCCTGGAGAAATGAAAACCCGGAGGGCAAGCCACTCGGATGTTTGGGTGCCGATAGGGTGATGGGGAGTATAGGAGAAAAGCAGGCGCGTGGGGTGCTGGGCTCCGCCGCAGGCAGGTTGAATTGGAGGCGCAGGTGGGACAGCTAAGTGGAGATGTCCTCCCCGCGCCCTTCACCATAAGGGTCTGATATTGAGGAGGGAGACCCAGGCGGGAAGTGAAGACTTGAAAGTCGTCGGTAAATGAACGGTTGTTCTTAATGCTGTGGGCAGCAAAGTTCTCATCCAAGACGGGCGTGTGAAAAATGAGGAGAGGATCGGCAGCATTTGGGGAGCAGTCGGGGGAAAATCCACAAAGATAGGAAAGGAAGGGCCAGCCAGGTAAGTGGTGTCCCAGGTGTCCAAGGGGGCCCAGCTTCAGGACCAGAGAGGTTAAGGATGCCACATATATCCAGGGTGAAGTTGGGCACCCTGAAAACTATCCGTTGCATGGTCAGTAAGGAGGATGGAGTTGACCTTGATTGAAAAAGGCAGCTTGAGGTCACTGGGAGGACAGGGCCGGCGTGCAGCGAGAGAGCGGCTGCAAGGCTGTGGGGGACGTGACGACCTTAGGTTTTAGCACAGACGGATTTTCTCTGTGCGGTTTCTCATTTCTCATAAATGCCAGGGCAAACTCAAACTACTTTTGTCTTGCTGCCTTATTAAAAAAATGATTTGGGCTTTACATTACAGTATCTGAAAGCTCCCTGGTACAAATGCAGCCGTGTTTATTTTTACTACGTTTTTGAAAGAAATAATAATATTAAATATGCACCACGAGTCCCATTCCTGGATTTTGGGTGATGAGGCTGACATGCCAACACTAAGGAGGTGAAGGAAATGTAACCATGAGGGTATATGCCATTTTAACTCTTGGTTTTTTAATTAAATAGGTCGAAAGAGATTAACTGAAGCACTTTTTTGGAAAAGTCTGCAATGAAGTTAATAAATTTATTAGAACACTTTGATTCTTTAAAAAAATTTTTTTAAATGTTTTATTTATTTTTTGAGAGGGAGAGAGAGACAGTGTGAGCAGGGGAGGGGCAGAGAGAGGGAGACGCAGAATCCAAAACAGGCTCCAGGCTCTGAGCTGTCAGCACAGAGCCCAACGCGGGGCTCGAACCCACAAACCGTGAGGTCATGACCTGAGCTGAAGTTGGACGCTTAACTGACTGAGCCACCCAGGCGCCCCTGATTTATTTTTTTATTTGGCCAAAACAAAGAAGATGTATATATTTTTCCTTTGCCTTCATTTGTTGGTACTGATCCTACTTATAATTTGTTATTCTAGTAATTGTTGTGAAAGTTCATTTTCTCATCGACAGATCTTTGGGTCGAAAGAGATTTGAATCCTGTCCTCTGTTGACCAGCTACGTGACCTTAATCTCAGAGTCTTACTGTCCTCATGAGTAACAGGAAGTGTTAATGTTCTGTGCTCCATAGATGTGTGGGAATGACGTGGTGCGCAGTAGACGTGCAGCAGGTATTAGCTAGTGTTCTTGTGAAGAACTAGAGGGGTGTGTTCCTTACACAGGACAGCGGCCGTGAGGACCGTTGGGCTGTGTCTAGAGCCAGACTTCTGAGGTACTTATTTAGCTGCACTGGCCAGCAGTTTAATGTTAGACAAGTCACTTAGTCAAGTGAGTGAAGCCCTAGGGTACGAAGCATCTTTATGGAACAGTATTCTGTGTAATTATTACCCAAATATGGGTCGAGCAAATTTAAAATGCATACACTCCGGTTATTAGCAAAAGAAAAAACTCCAGTGAGTTTGTGTCTGTTGATTCTCTTGACCCGGGTTTAGGCATTGTGTAAGGATGTTCCAAAGTATTGCTCAGAAACTCCACAGAGCTTGCTGCTAAAGCAGGAGAGAAAAGAAAAACACTAGCAGGTGTTAAGATGTGTGTGATGCCGGGGCGCCTGGGTGGCTTAGCTGGTTGAGCGTCCGACTTTCGCTTAGGTCATGATCTCACAGTTTGTGGGTTCGAGCCCCGTGTCGGGCTATGTGCTGACTGCCAGCTCAGGGCCTGGAGCCTGTTACAAAGTCTGTGTCTCCCTCTCTCTCTGACCCTTCCCTGCTCACGCTGTCTCTCTCTCTCACCTAGAAATAAATAAAACATTAAAAAAAAAAAAAAAGATGTGTGTGATGCCTTGGAGTTATTAATCCGCACCGTAAAAAGTTTCTGTCTCATCTCTTCTTGTTTGGATTATCTCTTTCTGCATCTGCTTTTCAGAAATTTTCTTTCGTTATTAAATCGGAGAGGAAATATAAAATCCGATCTCACTTGCTTAGCCCCCACTGAGAGTGATTTGAACAGTTTTTGGGAACGCAGGCTGGAGCCTTGGTGACATACAGCTCTGGTTGTCTGTCAGGTGTGGACGCCTGGTCTCTCCCCCCCCGGCTCTGATACTCTACCCCCGAGGGAAACTGGGCTCTGCTGGTACTTATTTGCGAAACGAGATGGCTCAGCTCACTAGTCTTTAGGCACACGTAATTACAGTGAAAATGTCTCCCTGCTCGCTAACACTGAGCACCCTATGATCACTCACTTCGGACCTCGCTGGGAGACAGTGCGGACTCCACAGTGAGAGGAATTTAGAAATTATTCCGTCTACAGGAGCAAGTATCGCAAACACGCACATCCATGCCCTGAACCACGGTGCCTGCATGTTTTTAGAGATGGCGTTAGCTCCCTTAGCAGTTATCTGAGCTGGCGTTTCATGCCTTATCATTGCCTATGATCAATATATTATTTTTTTAAGGAACATAGTATTCTAGTCTCTGTCTCAGAAAAGTAAAGCTCTTTACGTTTTTTCCAGCAAACTCTTGAAGTTGTTAAGGTCTTAACAGGTTAAAAAAAAAAAAACCATTGTCCGTTCTAAAACTTGGATTTGTTTACATTTTTCTAGCATTAAAAAAAGTGAACAATTTTTAAAATATCATGTGTCTAAAATAGTGAGTTTCAGAAATTGGATTTTAAAAGTAAAAGAAAGAATATCAAGTCACAGAAAGAGAGCCAAGAGATCTGAACATCTAGCAGACAACCGCATGGTACCCGTACTCTGTTCATGCTCCTGTTCTTACAGAGGAATCCAAGGCTTAAAACTATCCAGGACTTTTTCCTCCCGCAGCTAAGCAGGATTAAGTTGTGAGTAGCGTAGCTGGCATTCAGACCAGATCAGGTCGACTGGAGCCCAGATTGCTGCCATTCTACTCCCGTTCCCTTCGTGCTGTGCTTTTCCATTACAAAATGAAAAATGATTTCTTTTGTCTGCATAGTAGACCTGTGTGTTGGCGCTTAATTAAGACTATGCCCTAATAATTGCCTTTTTTAAAATCAATTTTTTAAAAAAATGTTTATTTTTGAGAGAGACAGAGTGAGAATGGGGGAGGGGCAGAGAGAGGGAAACAGAATCGGAAGCAGGCTCCAGGCTCCAAGCCATCAACACAGAGCTCGATGTGGGGCCCGAACTCATGAACAATAAGATCACGATCTGAGTCAAAGTCAGACGCTCAACCAACTGAGCCACCCAGACACCCCAATAATTGCCTTTTATTAAAATAAAAGAAGAAAGTGAAATTCCTCCAGTATCTATTTTGCTCTTGTAATGTTTGAAACCTGCTCCATCTTAAGGACGCAAA